TTAGTAAATGCTCGTCTTTATGATATTTAAGCAAGAAAATGGGATATCCTTCCTCACCAAATAATTTTGTTTGGATTGTCAGTGTTTAAAAATTGCTAGACACAACTCTTACCTACTATAATTGCAGTCTTCAATTACAGAATTGAAGGACTGATATCATCTATTCTCTCCCCCAACTGGCAAAGTTCTTCTTAGTTCAGTAGACATTCAAACTTATTCTGATGAGGTCCTTCACCAATGCTCACTCTCTCCAAATCACAGTTGGCTGTTGAAGAAAGTTTATTTTGGTAGCTTTAAAAAAATACTTGCAATGGTGGTAGAGCAGCTTGGCATGGATTCTGTGAGGTGTTGGTTAGAGAAATACCACCTGACATTCCAACTGAAATATATCATAAATCATTTTCAACAAAAGAGCTATTTTGTTGCAAAGGTGACTGTTTTTGAAACACCTAATATAGAAACAATACTGAATTGATTTCAACTATATGAAACAAAAAGACATATTTAATATTCCATCCTAAAATATTTATCTTTTCTATTGTAGTATTAAAGCAGTTGAGAGCGGGCTTTTTGTTTATTTGTTTTTTGCCGTGGAGTCTCGCTCTGTCACCCAGGCAGAGTCTCCCAAGTAGCTGGGATTACAGGAGCATGCCACCATGGCCAGCTAATTTATGTATTTTTAGTAGTGACAGGGTTTTACTACGTTGGCCAGGCTGGTCTCCAACTCCTGAACTCAAGTGATCCACCCGCCTTGGCTCCCAACGTACGGGGATTACAGATGTGAGCCATCATGCCTGGTAGAGAGGGTGTTATTTCATTCTAGCAGAGAAAATAAAACTCACGTTCACCTTTCTTTAGAGCTCCCAAGAACAGAGAAATTAGCTGGGTCCCCAGGTTTGTCCCTGCCTCTAATCGCATTATCTGACCTTAAAAATATTACTCTAGGCCGGGCGCGATGGCTCAAGCCTGTAATCCCAGCACTTTGGGAGGCCGAGGCGGGTGGATCACGAGGTCAAGAGATCAAGACCATCCTGGTCAACATGGTGAAACCCCGTCTCTACTAAAAATACAAAAAATGAGCTGGGCATGGTGGCGTGTGCCTGTAATCCCAGCTACTCAGGAGGCACGAGAATCGCCTGAACCCAGGAGGCGGAGGTTGCGGTGAGCCGAGATCGCGCCATTGCACTCCAGCCTGGGTAACAAGAGCGAAACTCCGTCTCCAAAAAAAAAAAAAAAAAAATATTACTCTATTGGGCCAGGTGTGGAGGCTCACGCCTGTAATCCCAGCACTTTGGGAGGCCGAGGCAGGTGGGTCACGAGGTCAAGAGATTGAGACCATCCTGGCCAACATGGTGAAACCCTGTCTCTACTAAAAATACAAAAATTACCTGGGCGTGGTGGCACATGCCTGTAGTCCCAGTTACTTGGGAGGCTAAGACAGGAGAATCACTTCAATCTGGGAGGCGGAGGTTGTAGGGAGCAAGATGGCGCCACTGCACTCCAGCCTGGTGACAGAGTGAGACTCCATCTCAAAAAAAAAAAAAATTATTCTATCATTAAAATTTAGAGATAGTTAAGCAATGAGGGGGATAAAGGCAATAGTACAGAAAATAGAAAAAGAACACTTAAAGCTTTAGAATATTCTTTCCATGGAACCATGGAACTAAACAACAATTTCTTTTTTTTGAGATGGAGTTTCACTCTTGTCATCCAGGCTGCAATGCAATGGAGTGATCTCAGCTCACTGCAACCTCCACCTCCGGGTTCAAGCAATTCTCCTGCCTCAGTCTCCTGAGTAGCTAGAATTACTGGTGCCTACCATGGCACCCAGCTAATTTTTTGTATTTTTAGTAGAGATGGGGTTTCACCATGTTGGCCAAGCTGGTCTCAAACTCCTGACCTCAGGTGAGCTGCCCACCTTGGCTTCCCAAAGTGCTGGGATTTCCGGCATGAGCAACTCTGACTGGCAACAAATTTTAATATCATTGACTCATTTCCATTTTGAAGAAATTCAGAAACCAGAATATTTCAAGTGGACCATAAAAGCTTTCTGCAGTATGGGGATATTCCCTGTCTTAACCTTTCTGTTTCCATATTTGGATTTATTTTATTCTTTAACATGCTTCTCAAGCAAACATGTTCTAAGCTCATCTTCCTAGTGAGAACCCTTTGTATAACTCAGCTCAAATTTTAAAAGATGTGAACTCCATGACTACTTCGAAATATGTAACTCTTCCCACTTAGCATAGGACTAGTTTGCTTTTATTACTTTACTTATAGTCTTTCTGGGGGAATCTACTGCCTCTCTTCCCTACCTTTCCCTGACAAAACATAAAAAAAAAGTGGAGGTGGGGTAAGAAATGGCTTACCACTGTGTTCAATAAAGACCACCATCCGATTGGACGATTCTGGTATCTTATGTACCAGGTGTTGATTTATGAGTAAAGGAACATGCTAAGGAAAGAATTCGGCTTGGGCTGTGCCATTGATGGCTAAGCAATAGCTAACATATGTGTAAGAACAGCCCAGTTAAACCACTGCATTCCACAGCATTAAGCTTTGACAGTGAATTCCAAATCAATTATACAACAGATAAAACCTATCAGGTCAGTCTTCCCTGCTTATCAGAAAGGATACGATTTTAATTCCTGGAGAATATTCTCTCTTTTAAGGGAGCAGGGGTGAGTTAAATAGAAATTCATACTTAATTTTAGTTTTGAGATTGGCAGCAACAAATTAACAATCTTAGCAAAAAGAGGATGGCGAGGAAGTGACATCTCGCAGAATAACTTTCTGCCTTATTTTGTGATTTCATTATTTGATTTGATTTTCCCTATTTGATTTAAGAGCCATTGCATTGACTTTGGATTTGTTAGGGTCTTTGCATCCATTTCCAGATGGGGCAGCCAGAGTGCTGAATTTAGGTTACAGGTTATATACATTCTAGCCAACAAATAGAATAAGTTTAAAACAATTTGTAAGTTTACAGTTGGGAGAAATCTTTGGACTTCATTGCATATTGGTACAGGGAACAACTAATCATTGAATTGCTTCCATGGCTTTGTCTTGTATCTTGCCCATTTCTTGGGTATCCCTTTTTTTTTTTTTAGATGGAGTCTCGCTCTGTCACCCAGCCGCTGTCTCGGCTCACTGCAACCTCCCGCGTTCAGGCGATTCTCCTGCATCAGCCTCCCGAGTAGCTGGGATTACGGGTAATTTTCGTATTTTTAGTAAAGATGGGGTTTTGTCCTGACGGTCTTCAGTTCCTGACTTCAGGTGATCTGCCTGCCTCGGCCTCCCAAAGTGCTGGGATTACAGGTGTGAACCACTACACCTGGCCTCTTAGGTATTTCTTACGAGATAAAAGATAAAATTAAAAGAAAAAAAAATTAACTTCAGTCCTTAAATAATGTTACAATTAAATTCTATTTTTAGTTTTTGCTTTTCTGTAAATGCTATATATAGATGTAAAAATGCCTTTAAAATATTATTTTTAAATCCAACTACCTACCCCTAAATTTTCTTTAAAAAAAATCCCCATAGTAGTATTGATAAATAGGGTCAGCTAAATGCAAACTGCAGAACAGACAGATATTTGGGATTTTCTTTTTTTTAGTTTAATAAAGTTTGAAAACTTTCAAAGCTCCTGTACAATTCCCTTAATACCAAACTTGGCAAAACTCTAATTCTCTTTGAAAAGGTGTTTGTTTTTTTTTAAAGTAATATGTTTGAACAATGTCTAAGAATGTGGGGTGGGGAGAATCCATATCCAAATATTCATAAAGCAGGTTCTTTAAATTTGCAAAGCTATTAGGTTGGTAAAAAAAGTAATCACAGTTTTTGCTTTTGCACCAACCCAATATTTACCACTGAAAACGAAGGCATTTGGATCACTTCTTTTCAGCATGCTAGACAGTAAAGAGACTGGAAACGAGGCAGTAGAAAGAAGGAAAGAGTGAAGATAACAGAGCTAGGTCAGTGAGAGACATTTCTAAATTCCCCTCTTCTTTTCCTCTAGCATTCTGGGAAACTTCTCAGCAGCTGTCATCTAAGGTAAGTATCTTGCAGGAGAAGCAAAGAATCAGAACTAGCAGGGCGTGGGGACAGTGCGGGAAGGTGGCCAGGTAGGCAGTGCTAGGAAAGCAGGCCAAGGGAGGAAGACCCGGGATTGGACAGGACCTTTCCTCTGCTGCCTGGACCTTCTTATGAGGCTGTTAGATTTAAATTTCATTTATACAGAGAACTGAAGTGATAAGTGGCCGGATGATTAAGTCCTTTTGTCACTGATGAGGATTTATTTCCCTCAAAATTCTGATTAGGAATTCCCATGCTACGAATATTAATTTGCTCTTCTACCTATGCCTCTGAGTCACAAGCCACCAAAGGCCAAATTTACTTATCTATATTAAGGGCTTTATGTGAAATGAAAGGTGATTTACTTAGCTGACCATTTCCCAAGGAGCCTTACTTAAACTCAATCTTAAACGTTATCCAGAGGGCTCACAATAGTGACTGCCAGCAAGTGGTGAAGTCCCTGTAAGGCTAACCCAGACTCTCCAATTGCTCTTGGAGTGAACACGCCCTTGGTTTAGGTTAGGGTGCCAGATCTAGATACCCCAGGGCTAGGCGAGAACCCAATTTGCCCTCCTCTCTTCACACAGCAAAGCAACCTGGACAGTCTAACTCAGTCATGTAAGGTAGACAGAGCTTAAACCAGATGGCCAGCTAAACACTGAAGGGGCATGCGTCACGATCCACCCTCAAAGTACTTCACAGCCAAGCCACGGTGACTAGCGAAATAGGCCAGATCTGCCTGTGGACACTGTCCTGAATGTTTAGCACAGAGAGACAGGAAGGTGACGGTGAAGTGCGGCGAACACCAGAGGCCGGCCCGTGAAGGAAGGTGCGCAGGCTCACACAGTGTCCCTGGGAAAGGAGTGGGTGGCAGAGCATGTCATAGTGATTGTACCCTTCAAATAATAACCTCCATACACATTTGTGTCGGCAGAATTTGTTAAAGTAAGAAAAATTCAGAGAAACTCATACATTTGTAATGGGCCCAAAGTATTGGACCACAGATAAGAATACACTGAAGCAACAATATACAGAGACTCACATGCTTACATGTACACATTATTTTTCATTTTAGCTTCTTACATCTTCCTTTCCTGATGCCACAGGAGCACATGGATTAGAAGGTTCTAGTAGATTCCAGCAATAAAATGCTATGCTACTCAGAAAATATATGGCTAGTGAGACGGCAGCCTTGTTCTCTCCTACGCAGTTTACGTATTCATGAACAGAGAAACCTTTAGAAGGAGATATCAGATACCAATGATCAGACCAAGACATGATACAGGAGACTTTCACGGACTTGATTCTAAACCTAATCCTAACTGATGCTGGGTGGTTTTCATCACCTCCATTCACATCCTCACACGTCCAAAATAGGCCAGCTCAGCCGCGTCACAGTCTACCGTGGGAATACGTCCAGGGGGGTCCAGGAATTAAGTGGCTGGAGGCCTTGAGCCTGGGCACCACCGTCTCTTGGGACTGTGTCCCTGTGGAGAAGGCCCTTCCATCATCAGGCTTGGCTGGAAACTCATTCACTTGGAGGAAGAAGGCAGGCACGGCTCATCAGAACTGGAGGAAGAGGTTGTGGGGAAGCCTTCCTCCTCTCACGGAGCGTGTTACACAGCGCTCAAGCGGATGTCCCCACAAGGAATTTCTGTTGGTGTTTCTGGGGTGATACTTTTAATAATACGCTATTGGGAAAAAAATAAAATGTTATAAACATCCTTGTCATTTTTTAAACTTGCAAAAATATTCAACATTAATATTAAAACAAAGCTTAAATAGCACTTTGATAACATCCAACAGTGAGATAGGAAAGTCTCATCCTTAGAGAAAGAATTCCCAATTTATTCTCAAATATGAATTAAAATGGTATATTCAGGAACTATACGCATCTGTAAACTAAGAAAATCATTATAACACTAATGGAAGAAAGTTCTAAAGACAAGTCTTCATGAGAATCTCTGCTGGCCAATAACATGCTTTTGAATGACTTGGGAAAGGGTACCCTTTTCTCTGGACAGAGGAGGCTTCTAAAGCCACACAGGGCTTGGGGAGCAGAGTAATTGCTGGGTTTTGGCCCCCATCCCCTCACCCGGGCTCCTTGTCCCCTGCAGACACACTGTAGCCAAAGTGCCCAGTATTATAAGCCACTGTAACAGCCAGGATGTCACTAATTTAATGAATTCACCTGTAAAGCAGTACTGTTAGTTCATACAAGAGTATAAGTCACCACATGAATTGTAAAAGATGCGATTATTGAAACCATCTCTTCTAATGCAACCTTGTATTGATGTAGTGCTCATCACAGAGACGTGGCTGAGAATGTCTGCTATAGAAACAGCTAAGGTACACGGAAGCTTTAAGATGGATCTGAAATATACTTGGGCTTGGGTATGAAATCTACAACCTGCCTTGTAAAACTTAGCATCAGAGTGACAAAAAGCAGCTCAAGGATATGGAGAAGAAAAAAACAGCAGCACTGCAGAAGCTTAGAAAAATCTTCATTAAGTTGCTTAATAAAATCTTTGTTGGCCAAAAGTCTGTATATATCATAAGCAGACAAAACTGGATCTGAAAGCATCCTTTGGTGATCTTTAGGCGAAGCTCTGCTCCTTTCCTTTTTATTTTGGACTGAAAACGTCTGGAGTCACCTTCAAGCTTGTCTATTTTCTCGTTCGGGGAGTTTGTTCTTTAAGGAATAGCACCGACGGAATTCAAAAAGTTACAGTCCTACAGTTGCTGAAGTGTAATAGAGGACAAAATGCACAAAATCGTACATTTTGTGCTCCTCATGGCTTTAGTCTCTGCCTACTGAACTCTCACACTAGAAATCCATCTAAAAAGGAGTTGTTGTGGGGCTCGTGAGCTACCAGAGCTGCCAGGTCATGGAAAGCAACCTTTCAGAAACCACACATTCCCGCAGATGAACATGTAAACTATACCTGATTAAACTGAATTACGTCTTGTTAGTTGAGAACCAGACAGGGATCACTATAATGAGTCCTTTTTTTTTTTTTTTTTAAGAGTCAGGGTCAGCTGGATGTGGTGGCTCATGCCTGTAATCCCAACATCTGGGAGGCTGAGGTGGGCGGATCACCTGTGGTCGGGAGTTCAAGACCAGCCTGACCAACATGGAGAAACTCCGTCTCTACTAAAAATACAAAATTAACTGGGGGTGGTGGGGCATGCCTGTAATCCCAGCTACTCTGGAGCCTGAGGCAGGAAAATCACTTGAACCCAGGAGGCAGAGGCTGCAGTGAGCTGAGATTGCACCATTGCACTCCAGCCTGGGCAACAAGAGCAAAGCTCCGTCTCAAAAAAAGAAAAAGAAAAAAGAAAGAAAGAGTCAGAGTCTTTCTCTGTTGCCTAGGCTGGAGTGCAGTGGCACAATCATGGCTCACTGCAGTCTTAAACCCCTGGGCTCAAGGGATCCTCCTGCCTCAGCCTCCCAAGTAGCTGCAGGTGCTTGGTACCCTGCTCACCTACTACAACTTGTCTTAAGTGGAGCTATGGTGTACAGAGAGAGAAGAGATCACTGAGGGTGGGGCGAGGCCAGCAATGAACAATGTCATAAAGTCAAAGACTTGGCTTTTGTGCCCTAACCTACCCACAGGGTCTGCCGCCCTGTTGGTGACTGACCACCCAGGATGCCAGGCCCACGTTTGTTTTCTGTGCTTTGCCAGCATTCTAGTTGCCAGGCTACTGTGGCTTTCAAAATTTGCCAGGCCCTGGCCTTCTGCAAGATGATAACAAGTTAATCTAAGAAACGGATTACTCTTGATATCTTCATAAATGTGTACTCATTAGGGACCGCCTTCCAGTATCTTTGGGTGGGTTATTAGTAGTTTCTGCAAAAATGACCTAAGTCAGTGGATGATTCCAACCGCGAGACTTCCAGGCTGCGGGTGTGTGTGATATCCTTCAAATTACAGCAGTTAAGCGGCAGCTCACTCCACAAACTCCAACCTTGCATATGGCCAGGGCCCAAAGGGATTTCATGTGAGGCTTCCCTCCTTCATAGACAGAAAGTTACAGACTATCAAGTCCGGTATTCACAAAGAATCATAAAGAATTCTAGACCTTAGGCAAAAAGCACAGCATGCTTTATTCTTCTCAGAGATTAAACATGCACATGAGCATATTAAAGTTTTTTTGAGAAGTCCTGAGGTAAACAAACCTGTTTATTTATTTATTTATTTGAGAGTCTTGCACTGTCGCCAGGCTGGAATGCAGTGGCGTGATCTCGGCTCACTGCAACCTCCGCCTCCTGGGTTCAAGCGATTCTCCTGCCTCAGCCTTCCGAGTAGCTGGGACTACAAGCACCTGCCACCACACCCAGCTAATTTTTGTATTTTTAGTAGAGACGGGGCTTCACCATGTTGGCCAGGCTGGTCTTGAACTCCTGACCTAAGGTGATCTGCCCACCTTGACCTCCCAAATCACACCTGTGAGCCACTGCACCTGGCCAAGAAACATGTTTAACTTGCCCTAGTTCAGCATTTTCCAAAAATTACCTGACTTTATAAACTTTTTCTCCAGCACTAATACCTATTACTGCCCCTGGAAGACCCTTTGGGAAGTGTTAATATATCGAACAAGCACATTTTAAAGATGAGGAAACTGAGGCCCAGGTAAGGTGAGTGTCTGTCATAGCTGACTAGGGCCTTTTCCATGGTCTACACTGCTTCTAGGCAACCCAGTACTCCCCATCGGGTGGCCCCTGGTGAAGACAGCCCTACCTACAATTAGTCTTACCTTTACTGCTAATGAATCTGAGCTCTGTTAGTGACACACTTTTGGGTAGCATTCCCTGTGACCAACTGGGGGAATTTGTAAGAAAGACGGCCAGGATCTGAGGCGCAGCCTGTGACTGAAGACTACTGACATTTATTAACCTAACACAGTTCCCACCTCTGACCTTGGCCTCTGGATTTGAAGCAAGAGAGCTCATGGGTCCTCACAACAGCCGTGAAGGACGACCAGAAGGAAAGCGTTCAATGGCTGGGTATGAGAGTGTGGGGGAAGCAGCGCAGAGCCCAAGGCTCTTTGGGAGGAGCACGGTCACGGGAGGGCTGGTTTGGTTGTAGGAAATTAGTAACTTCAGAGTTCTGAGTTCTGTTCACCCAGAATTCAGCTTTCCTGTTTGGAAAAAGAAATGAACCCAGTTGTTCTCAGAATGATGTGTGGCTGGGTGCGGTGGCTCAAGCCTGCAATCCCAGCAGTTTGGGAGGCAGAGGCAGGAGGATTGAGCTCAGGAGTTTGAGACCCGCCTGGCCAACATAGTGAGACCTTGTCGCTATTAAAATTTTTAAAAATTAGCCAGGTGCCTGTAGTCCCAGCTACTCGGAGGCTGAGGTGACAGGGTCACCTGAGTCCAGGAGTTTGAGGCTGCAGTGAGCCATGATTACACCGCTGCACTCCAGCCTGGGGTACAGAGCGAGGCCTTGTCTGAAAAAAAGGAAGAGCTGATGTTTAATTGCCTATGTTCCCTTGCTTCTCGTTTCTTATGAAATGTTTCAGGGTGACTACTGTGATGGTCTCGGGCGTACATTTTGCTGTGAGATCTCAAATTAGCCCACCTTGGTTCTCTGGCTATTATAGATGATGGTTCCTTCTGCCTCTCCCCAAATGTCACCCCTCACCTTTGAGCTTGGCCCCTGCAAATGTGCCCAGCTATGGACCTGTAAGTGGCTACTTCTATCGGCTCTTCTACCATTGCGCCCTTCTTACTGCAGCTAGAAGCACTACCAAAAAAATAGCAACTGAAGGGTTTTACAGTCTGGTATGTGAAGTGTCTGCTGGGAATCCTGGTGACTGAACCACAAGCTGTCAGCACAGGATGACAAGGTGGCTACTCATCTCTCCCTGAGGACAAGGGGGAAGCTGCATCTCAAAGTTAAAAGAGCACCGGAGTGGGAAGACCTGGATTCCGAGCCGCTCTGTGCTGTGTGTCCACGGGCAGCTCACTGAAACAGGAAGATTTGTGTGTTTTTTGTTTTTTGTTTTTCTGAGACAGAGTCCCTGTTGCCCAACCTGGAGTGCAGTGGCACAATCTCGGCTCACTGCAACCTCTGCCTCCCGGGTTCAAGCGATTCTCCTGCCTCAGCCTCCCAAGTAGCTGGGATTACAGGTGTGCACCACCACACCTGGCTAATTTTTGTAATTTTAGTAGAGGCAGGGTTTCACCATGTTGACCAGGCTGGTCTTGAACTCCTGACCTCAAGTGACCTACCCGCCTCAGCCTCCCAAAATGCTGGGATTACAGGCGTGAGCCACCGCGCCCTGGCTGAAATAAGGAAATTTCGAGCAGGATTATTCCCCACCTCAGTGTCCTTGTCGGCTAATAATGCCTGCCCGTTTACCTCCCAAGCTATTTTGACAACAGAATAGGATAATCGACATGCAGATGCTTTGAAAAGTGTGGCGCTCATACATCTCGTAAGGTACTGTTGTCAACATTCCCACAGCGCACTCATTACTGAAATGAATCTTGCTATTCTGGCAAAACATTTTTACTCCAATGGCTTGAGCTAAAACTGTGCTATTGTTGGACAGCTAACAATTTTGAGCTGACACTATGATATTGTTGCAAAATTCCTATTTTGTGATTATTTTCAAAATAGTACTTGTCACATTGCTGTTAGAAAAGTGATCATGGGCTGGATGTGGCGGCTCATGCAGTGGTAATCCCAGCACTTTGGGAGGCTGAGGCAAGTGAATTACCTGAGGTCAGGAGTTCGAGACCAGCCTGACCAACATGGAGAAACCCCCATCTCTACTAAAAACACAAAAAATCAGCTGGGCGTGGTGGTGCGCACCTGTAGCCCCAGCTACTCAGGAGGCTGAGGCAGGAGAATTGCTTGAATCCAGGAGGCGGAGGTTGCAGTGAGCTGAGATTGTACCACTGCATTCCAGCCTGGACAACAAGAGCAAAACTCTGTCAAAAA